CGCGTGTGCTACACTTTTTTCTCTATTTCTAAAAGATAAATAATAATATTAAGAATGACACAACATAATAAATAAAATGAAATTGGAAACATTCAATAGAGCTAACATTTTAAATTTCAATTCCACCGAGATAATCTACAGAACATTTATAGTGATACACGTAATTCCAAAATTATTCGAAACATTTAAAAAGTTACAAGAACACATGTCGTGTTCTTTAATGAGATTTATATAACACCTGCATTACAAACTCAATAGTAAACGTTTAAAATGTCTGGAAACGTATATGATCGTCTTTATAAAATTCGTAAGTATACCGTAGAGTTACGAAGAACGGGCGATCGTATAGCGGAACAGGCCATTTCTCGTGCTTCCTATAAAAGCAAAGTAAAACGAAGAACAGGTCAAATCAGACAGCAGTAAACGGAGTAGACGACACGACAGATACCGAGATCCGAGACCCGAGAGTCCGAGACGCACAGTCCAAAGCGAGAGTATCGATATTTTATAATATCGATATTTTAAAAATGTTGAGTTGAGACATCGATATTTCGAATCGATATTTCAGACTTTGATAGTTTGAAATATCGATGTGCTGAGTTTACATTTGTTCGTCGAAGAATCCAAATATTCAAGTCTTATTGTGTATACATATAATTATATACATATAATTAATAGAACGGGAGGAAAATATGAATATAATAATAATTAATTGTAAGCAAATGATGAGGATAGCCACTAGTTTGTTGACAAACGGTGGTAACCTTTCAAGAAAATACGCTACTACTGTAGCTGATTACAAAATTACTTGGGTACGACCAGAGAAAGTGTCGTATTTGTCATCTGAAAAATCTGGTGATCAAGGATTAGAAATTGATGTTAAATCATCTGATTTTGCCAAAATATACAAGGAGTTACCCGAATTGAAAAAGTAAATAATAATGCAACTATAGATGGTAATTATTCAGAATACTCACTCACTTAACTTAATAATAATATTCGTCGATACGTTTTCACTAAAAACGAAAGAATCTGGCAGAAAAATGGGGCGGTCGGCCTCGTGAATTGATTTTATTAAGCGTTCAAATTTAAGACTGTAGAGGTTAAGATAGTACTGTCAGTTCGATTCAATATAGCGCTATGTAGGTATACATTCTGCATTAATCACACAAATTTTCTACTTTACAAACATAAATTCACTGTTTTAAAAACACAAATTCACTAGTAATGCAAAAAATTGTGCGTTTAAAGCAGTGAATTTGTGTAATTAAAGCAGAACGTATACATAGTGCTGTATTGAGTCGGGTTGAGACAAGATATAATATTTTAATCTCTAAAGTCTCAAACTTACGCTTGATAACGCTAATAACTCGATTCAGAGGCTGACTGCCGCGTTTTTCTACCAGATTTGTTTTTCATTTTGAGTGAAAATGTGTTCAGTTTGAGTGAAAATCGACAAAGTATATTTTTACTAAGATTTTAGGAAAAGAGTATTCTATTCTAAATAATTACCCTATAAACAAATAAAATTTTATTTTATAATTAAATTCTTAAACATGCTATTTATATGTAATATTTTTTGTCAGTGCCAGTGATATTGTTAAAAAGATATTTACGTTACAATTTCTACCTCGCAAAGAAACAATTAATATTAGAAGAGACAAAATCTTGGAATTGGTTCAAAGGCATAGATTAGATCAAAATTCACCAGAAGCTATAAGCAAGTATAGCTCTACTATAAACAAGATAGATTATACGATAGAATAATAGGTATTTAACATTATCATGCTTTTACTTTTCAGTTGCCATTATGACTAATGACATACATCAGTTGCAAGAATATTTAACGAAATATCCCAAGAACACGAAAATGAAAGTTAAATTGCTAGAAACAATTGCAAAACGAAGGAAAATGCTCAAATATTTACGGCAATGGGATTATAGACGTTTCGAATGGATCTTAGAGAAACTTAATCTTGTTTACAAACCATTACCCGAGTAAGTGCTTTATCAAATATCAATATACATTTATTTTATATTTTGCTGCATTTTATAAATCTGTTCTTACTTTTTACAAAACATTTAATGAATTTTTAGGTTACCTTATCAGGTTACCAGAAAGGATTCTTTAAGACGTTTAACGGAAAAGCATTGTAACGAATTTGTGCAAGAAAAATTGGATATTTACAAAAAAGAATTGAAAAAGTTACAAAAGGATTTTTATATAGAAAAGGCAGAGAAGCTTGCATTTATCAGGGAGGAAGAAATAGCATGTGGATTACAACCGTCAGTAAGCGAGGAGGATATTGCATACACTAAGCAGAAAGCAAAAGAATGTCAAACATAATACATATATATA